CCGTAGACAGGAAGAGGAGGGGGCGGTGGGGGAGGCGCAGACGAACGGTTAGGGGAGGGAAGGCTGCGAAGGCGAAGGGCAGATACCGTCGGCGACTGCTGCTACTTCTGCTCGACGCCGATACCTGAACCGCCAGCTGCACCATGGCTACCTCCGGAACACTCCATTACAACACCCCCAAAACGGGCACCCCCAGATCGAGAACTCGCTCCAGCACCATTGCTACCCTCACGCCCGCCGAAACAAGCCACGACAGGAACCCCAGGACTTGCACCCTCCTCAACGGAAGCACCCCCATAGTCCACGAACGGCTGCTGCAGCTGCGGCGGCGGCGACTTCCGCGGCTGCTGGTGCGGCAACGACTGCTGTAACGGCGGAGGAGGAGACACCGGGGGGGGAGGCCGGTGGCGAGAACGGCGCCGCGGGGCCAATATAGTCACCCGACTCCTCGAACGGGGCAACCAACGGGAGGGGAGTGACATAATACACACCAGAAGAAGCAAGACGGGGAGGGAGGGGAGCAGGGGCTACCGGGGGAGTGGGGACCAGAAACAGGGGCGGAGAAAGCGGGAGACCTCAGTGGGAAAAGTGGTGGTAAAAGGAGACAGACTTGTCGAAAGTGGCGTTACGGGAGTGAAAGAAGCGGTGAGACGGAGAGTGGTAGAAGTGCCAGTCGGACGATTCAAGCGGGAAACCAAGGAAGACACAGGGGACAGTGCGGGCAGTGAGCTTGTCCGTGTGAGAGGCACGAACGTGAGCAAGGCAGCCCCAGATGTGGAATGCGGATGCGTCACCAGGGAATCCGGTCCAAAGAAGGGTCGGCGAAACCCGCAGCCGCTGGGAGCGTGGCCACAGGTTAAGCTGGTGAGCGGCGTAGCGAACAGTGAACAACTACAGAAAATGGGGTGCACCGGCATGAATCATGGAGGCACGAGCCACCTCCATGACCAAGCCGATGCATTGCTCAGCGACCCCCTTCGGCTGCGGTGAGTTCGGTAGAGTGTACGACTGGGTGATGCCCTTCGCACGATAGAACTGACCAAGCCGACCAAAGGCAAACTCGCCGCCACGGTCGGAGTGGAGACACACCACAGGGAGACTGCGGTGAAGGCGCGCAACTACGACCCACGGGATAAGAACGTCAAGCACGTTGGCCTTCCGCTCTAGGGGAAACACCGTGGCGTAGAGCGTGAAGTCGTCGACGAGCACGAGAAAGTAGTGCTCGCGACGCGGGCTAGGGTCGGGGGCTGGGCCCCACACGTCTAGGTGAAGGGTCTGGAGGGGTGCGGTGGCAGGGCGAAGCGTGGAGGAGTGAGGAGCATGGCGCAGCCGACCCTCGACGCAGGGCGTGCACAGCGGCGCAGGCGAGGGAGGTAGGGGAGGAAGCGACACAGGGAGACAGAGGACCAGACCGTGCTGAGACATGTGACGCAGACGCGGGAGTGCGGGGTGGCCTAGACGGTGGTGCCATAGAAGCGACGGGTGAGTGAGCGAACGACACGAGCAGGCCGCACCAACCTGGGTAGACGTAGGACTCGGGGAGGACGCGCCCACCGTGGGGGAAGCAGTGTCTAGTGTAAACAAGCTAGACATCGGGTCTCGGGGAACATCGCAAGGGGGGCACCTGAGGCAACCTCCGTAAAGACAGCGTACCGCTCGTGACCAGGGAACGTAGGGGTGACGCTGAGGTTCTGAAGACAGCCGACACCAACTAATGTAAGTTACTGGAGAACGAGGGGATGTGCAATCCTGTAATGGAACCCGAGGGGGCCGCCAGACAGGGAAGAGTAGTGGAGCAGCGAGCAATGATAGGACCAGAAGAGGGGTTGTGAGAGTACGACCCCGTTACACCACTTGGCCTTTTCTTATTTCCTTCCCTTTTCATTTCTCTTTTTACCGCATCTCATTTGGCTTCCTATTCTTCCTTTTCCATTAACCTTTGGTTTATCCTGCTATTATCATTATATCACCGACCAGGCTTGGGATGTATTGGTGCGCTATATCTAGCGTAATCCTGCCATGTTCCCTTAAAGCCAATAGCCTCGCGTGGCTATACGCAGGGTGATTCTATCTTCTAGAAGGGTCTATTCCCTTAGGATAAGATAAACCTGGTTACCTGATGTACTCTAGAAGTATAAAAGCACCTTGTACTGATCGATAGTGCAACCTTTCCTCGACACATTCGATCCTGTGACACTTGGTAATCAGAGCTTTTCTCACTCGGCCGCGCTCAGCTAAGCAGCAGCAGCGGGGATCCTGCCTCGAAAAACCGCCGGGGGCGACCAATTCGACGCCGATTCTGGTAAGCACCAGCTCCGTGATTTTCGAATTACCCCCTCCGTGCGTGTTTTGAACAGGATGGCAACCTTCGACAACGCCGAGGTTACCCAGCAGCTCTTCGCGCGCATCGCAGCCCTTCATGAGGAAATGCGAGCGGATCGCGAAGCGTGGCGAAACCAGTTCGAGCGAGTAACTCGACTCGCCGGAGCGCAGCACGACTCGACAACGACGACAACGCAGTAGTTTCTCGAGGCTCCAAAACCGCGCCCACCTGAGCCGTTCGATCCGAGCGATCGAAACTCCGACGCCCGCAGATGGATCGCCGGGATGGAGATCTACTTCGCAGCTGTCGGATGGAGCTCGCCAGTCTGGGACGGTCAACGCGTACGACTCGCGGCGACACCGATGCAAGGGCCGGCACTCGAGTGGATTGGCGGCAACAGCACTTTTATCCACGGTGAAGCCACGTGGCAGCAGTTCCGCGCCGACCTGCTGAAACGCTTCGAACCGATAAATTCGAGTTTCCTTGCCCGGGAAAAAATTCATCGACACCGACAGTTTGGGAGTGTAGCGCAGTACACGCAGCAGATGGAGGAATTTTATAACCGCATTCCCGACCTGACCGAAGGGGAAAAAGTACAATCGTACCTCGCCGGGCTGAAGACCGAAGTCAAACGACAAGTCGCAGCGTCAAACTACGCGAGCTACAGTGACGTCGTTTCGGCAGCGGAGCGCTTCGACATGGTCAACGCCGGAGCACGACGGACGCACGTCGGCAGTACGCGACAAGGCGACTGCTCGGCTTACACCACGTTCGCCGACCCGATGGAAGTCGACAGATTCGACGGGCGGCCACGTCCGAAAAACACCAACTACACGTGTGATTTTTGCGGGGTGCCGGGCCACCGAATCTTCGACTGCAACAAAATGAAGGCCGCACGCGCAGAGTATCGGGCACGCAACAGTGGCGGAAATCTTTCGGCCAATCAGAAGACAAAAGACGGGAGTCGCCAGTGATTGCGGATCTAGCTGGCGAAAATAAAAAGATCCGGAAACGGCCGCGGGATTCCGGGAAAATCAACTTCGACGAAGCTGATTCGATGCGAGAAGGAGGAAATGATGGGGGAAAATCTCCACCCCACGACCAGTCTTCGCCAGGGAAAATCGCCGAGGAAAAATGCGACTCCGCGAAAAAAGACTCTGCCGAGACAGGGAAACTCCTTGAAGACCCAAAAAATTATAAGAATTCGTTAAAGTTATCTTATAAAGATGCTTTAATGAAAACTTATGATTTTCGAGGGGCTAGAGCCTTGGAGAAAATACGGGAGGGACTCCAAAAGAAGCAGACAGCTGTGGAGATTATACCGGTACCGGACAACTTGGGGACCAAATTAAGGAGTGTGGAAAGAAGCCGACCTTTCCACGGAGTCAACGTCCTCTCCCGACACCAGCCCACAACGACTACCCGCTCCCCAGGGAAGACGTCGGTGGAGCTGAAGCAGCTCAAGAGGAAGCTGGGGGTCTACAAGAAGCTGCACAAACCCCGAACTCCTTCTACGGATGCATCCAGTTCTTCGGCATCAGTGACGCGCACAGTCGTCAAAGAAACTCCGGGCCCTGGAGAAGAGCCGTTCTCCAAGCAGCCTCGGCCAGCTGCCAGCTCAGGAGTAGACAGCAACACAAAGGTGTGTACGGAGTATTGGGATGTACCCTATGACCCAATCAATGAAACTATCTTTGGGTACTCCGAGCAACGACTGCCCCTCGTGCTCGAGGTCATCTGCAAAGGACGACGCCTCCAAGCACTCGTGGACAGCGGAGCGTCACACACCGTCTGCGACAAGGCAGTGATCGACCGACTTCGGGAAGAGTACAAGCCTTCAGGATTCTCTGCAACGATGGTGGACGGCAGCAAGTTACCAGTACACGGCGAAGCAGTGCTACATCTACAAATTGGACCACTGCGCTGGAGACCTGCACTCCCCATCACCAACATCAAAGGGCTTGACTTGATCTTCGGGCGAGACTTCCTAAAAAGATTCAACCCCGAGATCAACTGGGTGAACCGCACCGCAAGCATCTACAACAATGGACGGAGAGTACAGCTACCCAACTGGGACGATACTGGAGATATCCCAGTGGAGACACTCGCACGATTCGAGAAGGACGTGAAGCGGACCGACACCGGGTTCCTGGCGATAGCAACAGAGGTGGAGAATGACGGAGAGAAAGCCTCGGAAACTGCAGAAAAAATCAAGGAATTACTGAAGGAGTTCCAAGACATTCTTCCTGACGATCTTCCGAACGAGCTACCGCCATACCGAACACATCAACACGAGATTGTGGAGGAACCGGGTTCGAAGCCGACCTTCCGAGCACCATATCGGCTCAGCCCGACAGAGCTGACCGACATGAAAAAACAAATCGAGTATCTCCTAGCCAAAGGACTCATCCGACCATCCACTTCGCCGTACGGTGCCCCAGTACTCTTCACACCGAAACCGGACGGAAGCCTGCGCATGTGCATCGACTACCGAGCCCTTAACAAGCAGACCATCAAGAATAAATATCCGATACCGCGAATCGATGACCTGCTTGACCAGCTTCGGGGAGCTACGGTATTTTCCAAACTGGATCTGCGGTCCGGATACTGGCAGATACGGATGGCGGACAACTCTATCCACAAAACTGCTTTCCGAACTCGGTACGGATCGTACGAGTATTTGGTCATGCCGTTCGGACTCACCAACGCGCCGGCAACGTTCCAAGCCGAAATGAACCACATTTTACGACCACTCTTGGACGAATGCGTGGTGTTGTACCTGGACGACATCCTCATCTACTCGCGCGACATGAAGCAGCACGTCGAACACCTGCGACGCGTCTTCGAAATTCTTCGACGAGAACGATTCTACGTCAAACTGTCCAAGAGCGAGTTCGCCCTTGAAAAGGTCCAGTTCCTAGGACACCTGGTGAGCGCTCAAGGAGTTCACGTCGACCCCAAGAAAGTCGAAGCCGTACGTACGTGGAAGACACCCGAGAACGTGAAGGAGTTGCAGCAGTTCCTAGGCTTCGCTAATTACTACAACAGGTTCGTGCCACAGTATGCGAAACTCGCGGCACCACTCACGAATCTGCTGAAGAAGAACACGCCCTACAAATGGGAGACGAAGCACCAGGAAGCCGTGGAGCAACTGAAACAAGCACTGACATCCGCACCGGTGCTCATCTTGCCAGATCCCGAACGTGACTACGTCATTGAAGCAGACGCCAGTGATCAGGCCGTGGGAGCAGTCTTAATGCAAGACCAGGGGAATGGACTGCAACCAATTGCCTACCTCAGCAAGAAACTGCACGGGGCAGAACTCAACTACCCGATACACGACAAAGAGGCTCTTGCTATCATCATCGCCTTCAAAGCGTGGAGATGCTATCTCGAAGGACGACGAACAACCGTCTACACCGACCACTGCAACCTGAAATATTTGAAGACACAACCCAACCTTTCCAGGCGGCAGGTCCGGTGGATCGACTTCCTCGAGACACACTTCCACTACGACATCGTGTACAAGCCCGGCCACAAGAACAAAGCAGACGCTCTCAGCCGGCCTGCACACGTTGCCGCGATTCAGGTCGAAGGGATGAATCCACTACTCAAGGGACTCTTCACACACGGGTACGCCATCGACCCCGAAATTTCCTTGGCAGAAAAGCGACATCTGCTACAGTGAGACAGTGACATCGCGTACCGGAAAGGATCAACAAAAATCTGGGTACCCAATTACCCTCCTTTGCGCCAGTTACTACTCGAAGAGTACCACGACGTCCTCTATGCCGGACACTTCGGTAGCAACAAGACGCTGACCGGTATCGCAAAGCACTACTACTGGCCCCACTTAGCAGAAGAGGTCCAGAAATTCGTCACCTCGTGTGATACATGTCAGCGGATGAAGAGCAGCAAGCAGAAAAAGGCGGGACTACTGCAGCCTCTTCCTGTCCCAGAACAACCATGGCAAGTGGTTAGCCTGGACTTCATCACCGGGTTACCACCTACCTCCAGCGGTCATGACGCCATCCTTGTCGTCATTGACAAGTTCTCCAAAATGGGACACTTCATCCCGACACACACGACGGCACGCACCGAGGAGACAGCACAGCTCTTCGTTCGTCACATCATCTCACTGCATGGCATCCCAACCACACTCATTTCTGACCGAGACCCCAAGTTCACCAGCAAGTTCTGGAAGGAACTTATGTCTCTTCTCGGCACCAAACTCGCCATGTCATCCGCATACCATCCGCAGACAGACGGACAGACCGAGCGCCTCAACCAAATTGTTGAGCAACTCCTCCGAGCAGCCTGCAAGGACGACATCTCCAAATGGGACTTGCACCTACCCGTACTCGAGTTTGCTTACAACAATGCTACACATGCTGCTACTGGACAGACGCCGTTCTTCCTCTGCTACGGACGCCACCCACTCACACCACAAAAACCGACAACATCAGCTACAGTCCAACCCGCACATGATTTCATTACAACCATGCACCAGCTTTGGGATCGGACCCACAAGCGCCTACTCGACATTCAACAGCAACAGAAGCGCCAAGCCGATCGCCATCGCAACGACCACACCATTTCCGTGGGAGACCAGGTTCTCCTCGACACCCGCAACCTGGACATCAGCCATCTCCCATCTAAACTTCGACCTCGCTTCTGCGGGCCTTTTCTCGTTGAAGCACAGGTCACTCCTGTTACCTTCCGCTTACGCCTGCCAGCTACCTGGAAGATTCACAACGCCTTCCATGTCCAACTTCTGAAGCCCTATCGGGATCCTAACACGATCTTCGTGGGACGCCAGCCGCCGCCGCCACCGCCCGTCCTCGTCCAGAATGAACCCGAGTACGAGGTCGAGTCCGTGCTCGCACACCGCCGTCGTCGGAATGGTGCCGTGGAGCTTCTCATCCGTTGGAAGGGTTATGATCCTTCTGAGGACAGCTGGGTACCTGAGTCCGACATGGGTAACGCCCGTCGTCCTCTGCATGACTACCTTGTCAAGCAGGGTGTTACTTCTACCACCCAGCTTTGAGGGGGGGAAGTGTGAGAGTACGACCCCGTTACACCACTTGGCCTTTTCTTATTTCCTTCCCTTTTCATTTCTCTTTTTACCGCATCTCATTTGGCTTCCTATTCTTCCTTTTCCATTAACCTTTGGTTTATCCTGCTATTATCATTATATCACCGACCAGGCTTGGGATGTATTGGTGCGCTATATCTAGCGTAATCCTGCCATAATCCCTTAAAGCCAATAGCCTCGCGTGGCTATACGTAGGGTGATTCTATCTTCTAGAAGGGTCTATTCCCTTAGGATAAGATAAACCTGGTTACCTGATGTACTCTGGAAGTATAAAAGCACCTTGTACTGATCGATAGTGCAACCTTTCCTCGACACATTCGATCCTGTGACACTGGTCAACAAGGGCGACATGAGAGTTGCATGGTCACGGAAGAAGTAGGCAGACGCACGAGAGTCGAGCATGAAGGACAGCACAGCAGTAGTCGCAGACGAAGGAGGAGCAAGGGTAGAGCCTAGGCTAGACAAAGCAAACGGTCCTACGCTAGATGCAGCACGGGAGTCTGTACTACACACAGGTACTACGCCTAAGCTAGAGAACACCGGATAATAAGACTTGGACACACTAGAAGCGTCAGCATACAGAGAATGCAGGGCTGAAGTAAACATATCGATGTCTAAGTCAATCACAGGCACACGGTGACGGAGCAGACTAGGCCAATCTGGGAGGTCCGGGTGCTGAGCCGAAGTGGCGACGGAAGAGGTCGTCGAGGCGGCGGAAGCAGTGGGTGGTCGGGTGCGGACGGCGGCACATAGTGCCTCAAAGGGGCCCGGTCTGGAGCTGGTACTGGTAGCCCACAGCATCGAAGCTGCCGGTAGAGGTCGAGCTGCGGGGGCCGCCACCGCGGCCACCACCTCCTGGGGCTCCTGGCCACCCCGGCGGGAGGTGGGCCCACGAGTGCTGCTGCTGCTGCGTTTGCTGCTGCTCCTGGACACCAGCCCCAACCCCCTCGTCCGAGCCACTGTCCTCGCCACCACCACGACCACCACCGGCGCCACCACCATGCCCTCCCTTGGGGCTGCGGCGATCCCTATGTTGTTGCTGCTGCGGGAAGGCCGCAGTTGCGGTCTCAATGGCCGGGGTCGCCGTAGCTACCACGGCGAAAACGTCAGCATCCGTGTACTGGGAGGGGGCACAGCCCAGAAAGATAGGGACTGCCGCAACACCGCTCGACTGAGCGATAGTGCGCTGTTGAGTCTCTATCTCAGATAGGGCAGTGACAAAGGCAATTAGGGTTAGGTCACCTGGGTGCTAGCTTAGGAAGTGATCTCGGGTAGTGGCTAAGCGGTCACGCTGGCGCATGGCAATAAGGTACGGGGTAGCACAGAACGGTGGCGGGAATGCAGTATGCTGGGCGGCAGTGCTAGCCGCGTGGTAGGTAGTCTCTAGTGCACGAAGGTGATTGGTGAGATTAGCGATAGTGGGGAAAGTAGAGAGATCGGGGAAGAGCATGGGGAGGATCAAGCGGCCAGCTGAGGCGGAGGTAGGCGTGGAGTAGCGTGCAACTACTACAGTACATCTAGAAAGTCTTTGGCGTTTGCTACTGCAGTGAAGCGGGGGCGCTCAGATAGGGGAAGCGCATGACGAATGGCAAGCTGCGCTACGTCATTGCGAGAATCCCAGACAGCGCGCGCTAGCGTAGCAGCAGCAAATGCCTCACTCTTAGCAGTGGTGGGGTCAGCAGGGAGGGGAGCAGGCGTAGGGGGGCGGGGGAGCAAGCCATCAACATGCATAGCTAGGGAGTGCCCATCCTGGTGCTGACCTATCAGGTGCCGGCGAAGATCGACAAGCCAGCGGACGCGCAAGGGCCCGAGGCGCACGAGGGGCTGGCCATGTGCGCGAGAGGCCAGGCAGGTGCAGGAGGGGCTGACGCATAGAGAGGAGCTGGCAAGGCGCGTGGGCCCGGCGGTGCTCAGGAGGGGTCGGCTAGGTGGTAGGGGTCGGCTAGGCGTGAGAGACCGGCTAGGCGCGAGGGGCCGGCTAGGCGCGAGGGGTCGGCTTGGCGCGAGGGGCCGGCTAGGCGAGAGGGGCCGGCGAGGCATGAGGGGCCGGCTGGGCGCGAAGGTGGGGGGCGGCTAGGCGAGAGGGGCCGGCTAGGCGAGAGGGGCTGGGTAAGCGCGAGGAGCCGGCTACGACGCGAGGGGCCGGCTATTCAAGAGGGACCGGCTAGGCGTGAGGGGCCGGCTATGGCGCGAGATGGGCCGGCTGGGCGCGAAGGGGGGGCCGGCTAGGCGAGAGGGGGCCGGCTAGGTGACAGTGGGCCGGCTAACTGCGAGGGGCCGGCTAGGTGCAAGGGGCTGGCTACGGCGCGAGAGGGGCCAGCTGGGCATGAAGGGGCTGACTAGGTGCGAGGGGCCGGCTTCAGCCCGAGGGGCCGGCTACGGCGCGAGAGGGGCCGGCTGAGCGCGAAGGGGCCGGCTAGGCGCAAGGGACCGGCTACGACGCGAGGGGCCGGCTACGGCGAGAGACAGGCCGGCTGGGCGCAAGGGGCCAGCTGGGTGCGAGGGGCCGGCTACGGCACGAGAGGGGATGGCTGGGCGCGAGGGGCCGGCTAGGCGTGGGGGCCGGCTACGGCGCGAGGGGAAGGCGGGCACGCTAGGGGCTGGCGAGGCACGGTAGGCTAGGGCGCAGGGCGGAAGTGGGTGGGTGGACTTGACCTACTCATGATACCATGTTAGAAGGCTGGAACGAATTAGCAAGAAGAGAGAATAAGAGAGATATAGGGTTTGGGTTGTACTCTCTAAGAACACACACATATTCTAACCTATAACTTCAACATGCAAATGTATGTATAAATTGACATCTCCCACCTTCTAACGGAAGACAATCCCTTTTATCGAGGCCGAACAGTCATTACAAGTAATCCCCGATGTCACTGTAAGTCTTCAGCCCTGTGGTGAGCGTAATGATTATGCCGACCTGACGAGGTCTTCAGGTCAAACTGCGACCAAAGGTCAGAAAGCGTCGAAACGATCGCTTTGAATCTCAGTCGTCGAAGATGGAAGAATTCTTCTGCTGACCAAACGAGCAAGGGTAAGTACTCCAGTGGAAGCCTCTAAACAGTGAAAATTGTCGAGTGGTCGATTGATGATGGCGCGTGGCAGATGGATATCTTCCGTAATGATGAGACTTTCAAATGACGTGGACGATGAAGTGAAGTACCCATTCATCAAACGCGAGGTCGTTCGTGTCACATGCGAGATCACGTGTCTGTGTGCCACGAAAGTCAGCGAACTCCATCAACGAATTAACGAAATTAGGCGCGGAAGCTGAACGGTGACGAATGATGCTCGAAATTGGATGATGGAACACGCCGAAGGGTCGGACAGAAAATTGCGGCACAGTTGCACTTCTCCCCCCCTTCAAGAAGAAACAGCTCCCAGAAGCTCGGGTAATACTTCAATTAACCCATTTCTCCAGGGTACGCGAGATACCTATCTGCTGCTTAAAAGGCCCATAACTCAGCTTTGAAGATGCCGCTCCAAACTCCAAACGCGAGAAATCCCAAATATGCTCCAAAGGTGAAATTCCTGTGCAAGGTAAACCGCTTCAAAGGTCTGGAAATTCCGCAACGACTGCTCCAGAAGACTCGCATACAAGCTAAAAAAATCTGCAGAAGTCAAACACTCCTTGCGATTTGGCCCCAACACAGCTCCAACAGTACTGCGGCAAATTTCTTTGTAAATCCGATACTGCTGTTTTCGATTCGGATGGTGAGGTGGGGTCGTGTTCATGCTGTCAGGCGAATCGGGCAAATTGACGATGGAGGTGGTAGCAGGTGGTGGCGAGAAATTGACAACCGTGGCGATGGCCTGTAACCTGTACTGAACCACTCAAGTGAATATCCTAGAACAGAACCCGGGGTAGAATGACGCCAGCTACATCAGCTACTTTGTCCATGCACGCCGAAAAATTCGGGACGAGCTGAAACTGCTGCTGCGCTTCTCCTCCTCCATGCA